CTGTAACACAAATCAGCCAACTGTCACATAAATCTCCTTCTTTAATTTTACAAAACTTAAGAGAGAAACCATTCAGGTTACTACAAAGAAATCTTTAAAATGAGCTCATTAAATGCAAATTAAAACAGAAACACTGAATAAGCGCTGGGCCACAATTAAAGGCTGAAGAAACAGCAGGTAAGAAACAATTCTCATTGATCAAAGAACTAAAAGCTAACAGAATAGAGTATTCTGCATTGAAACTGCTTTCATGAATATGAAGCATTTCGAAGTAAGGAGTTTTTTTTTTTCCTCTCATTTTTCAAAGAAGCTTTGGAGGTAGAAATGGATCTGCATATCTTAACACAAAGTACTTCCATTGTATCATTTTCAAGCAATGAAGCTATGAGGTTTCAAAAAAATGTGGACTTCAAAAAAATCCTTAGAAATCGCTCCCAAAATTGAAAGGGGCAGAAGGTCATCATTTTAGAGCCTTTGGACCCAAAGAAAAACTGTACATAATTACACAAAATCATCTATGCAAAGATTCAGTAGAATTTCTTTTATGACACAATTGTACCTCATGGTAAATAGCTTTCAGAGCCTGTCTTGAGTACTTCGACGTAGGGTCACTTTTTGTCTAAAAGTATTGAAAAGGCAAAGCAAGTACCAGTACACAGTACCTTCAACTAGAAATATAAACTCTGAGACTTTAAAATTCATCACATGTAAGTTTTAAAACAAATATATAGATTTATAGGAAAATAGTAAAGTGAGAGTGTACACTCAAGATAGAAAGAGCATTGTTTTGGGTTTTTGTTTTTTTTTTTCTATTTTATTCACTTGTGTATCCCTGGCACCTGGAGTGGCACTGGGCACACAGCAGGTGCTCAATTATTGCATCTGCTTTCATGAAAATAAAACAATATAAAATGAGAAGTGAGGGGAGGGGTTCCTTATAAATTCATTTTAAAAATTAAAATATACTGGTTTTCATTTATCATGAAGGCAAAACTTGAAATATTTTATGGGACACAAGGGAGAAATGGGAATTCTTATAAACACTGCCAGCAACGGCAGAGGCATCAAGAACAGTTGTGCAGTTGTGCACCGTTCAAAAGAACTAAACCTGAGCAGGGATGGAAAAAGGGAGGGAGAGAGTAAAAACCCAGTAGGTGTTCTCCTGAGAAGGTCAGTCTTGGGGAAGATGTCTTTTTGAAATTCTTCAATCCTGAGGAGCAAGGCAACGTTTGCTACCTTGTTGTATTGGATAGAAATATAAAATAGGGTGACTTATTTTAGAAAAATTTAGAAATACCTACAAAAATTCGAAATCTACTAATCCTTTGACTAGAAAATCCACCCGGAAATTGTAATAAGATTTTTACTTTACATATTTGCTTACATATACAAATAAAAAGATATGAACACAAACATTTCTGATGATAGCAATCTGTAAACCTAATGAATGCTCATTTATTGAAGAGTATTTGCATAATTTGTGTACATCCACAAAATAAAAGAGTAACAGGAATTACTGTGGGGTGGAGTTGTACAGGCAGACATGTATGTTTTCTAAGAGATATTAAGTTAAACAATGTACAGATGTGACTATGTTCTAATTATTATTTTTTTAAATCAAAAATCTCTTTAAAGAGTAAGAGACTGAATTTGAATTTCAATACTGGCAACATTATTGTATACATATGCGTTCATTTTAATATCTGATACTACTGAAATACCTAAATCCAGTTCCACAGGAGTTAGAATATACCGCAAATATCACTACTAAATTTCAATTTTAAACAAAAGGAATTGCTAATTTTTAAAAGGGTGAAATATATTTTTAATCGTGATGCCAAAAATTACATTTTCCTAAGTAGAATTTTCTTAGGCCTTTCAATTCCGTTTTACATTATCTTGATGTCATTCTCCAAACTTCTCAAAGTCATCAACGCCAACTTCAACTAAACTATGTTTCTATGGCTGTCTGGGTCAGGGCATTTAACCTATCAGTCATAATCCGAGTGAGAAATAGGAGTACTTTTGAGACAGTCTCTGTGTCAAGAAGGAATCCTAGGTTTTAAGAATGTAAAAGAAAGTTTAATTCTACTGGCAGTAAGGTAACAGTCAATCTCCTTTATTCCTATTTTACCAAATTACCTCTTTTTGTTTTTCTTCAAAGTAAGCCAAGATTTAAATAAAGTGGAAAAGTACAATTTGTAGTAAAGAAGGTGTAGCAATTAAAGAGAGCATAGGAACGAAAGGGGCAAGTTGTGAGTACCACAATGTCTTTAACAGAAAAAAACAATCCCAGAAATATATTGATGTATATTTTGATCTCCAGCTTATCACTGGGTATAAAAGGCTCTAATACCTTTCCTGGTTCCAAAGTTTGGTCACAGAAACAGGAAACCCATTACTCCATGATATATTTTCAATTGCCTCCACTTTCACTTACCTTCGATACTCCAACACAACCAAATCCAAAATTAGCAATTAAGATTTTTATTAAAATGTGCCCACTGACCGAATTAGGCAATGCAACTAATTGTATAAAATAATTTACTGCATATTGTCCACATGGTTTTTACATGTGAGGGACTTTTCTTGGGAGGGGGCAGGGATTTCACTATTTATGTTGTGATACATATTTGTTTGCACTATGAAAAACCGTATCTGGAGTATGAGAAAAGCATCTTCTAAAATCCACTTTATATTCTCCATGTAATTACAAGTTACTAATAACTGTCTAATCTAATCATCAAATACAAAGATCATACTCTTTCCTTCTGTGTCCCTGGATCCCAAATAAACTAAACCGCCTAAACATAGCTCATCCTAACAAAGTTTTTATATAGTCATTTATTAGATAATAATTTGGATTTAAGTAATGATTTTTAGATCTTAAGTTCTTGTCTTTATATTGCTTTACTATAAATTTGTTTCTTTTAAAAGTATCCATGCACTAGATTAAATTGAATTAAAATAAGATTTGCACAATTGTCTTCAAAATGTAGACTTTTCCCCCTGTAAAATGCTGACATGATGGATTTTGAAAATTTTCTTCTACTTGGTTTTCTGAATCAGTTCAGAGTTGTGTTTACAAGTAGATTTTATGTAGCAGTCACCTAAAAAGGCTCAAAAAAGGTTCATAAAATTTTATATGAAAAATTTCTAAGAAAAATGTCTTAATTGGATGACTTTCAAAAGTCATTCATCAGAAGTCATACGTGCTCGAAAAGTAAGAAAAATTGGACAGCATCCTTAGGTTTTATCATTGCAGCAAAGACAGTGTCAGTTAACTGGCATGATTCTCCCAGCAAGTAGAATGTTTTACATTTTAACATTAATTTCCTAAATAAAAGACTTCAGACGAGCTTATCAGTGCATACAAACTTACATATTTTAAAAATCCACTTCTCATCTTTCTCGACAGACCACTTTTGACTTCAGATGTACTCGTCGTGCTCAAAAGTATTTTGTAAGTGGCGCCCATCAAAAATAATCCCCAAAGAGGCTCACCAAACCTTCCATACACAATCTAGAGCAATCTCTGTCATAACAAATCCCCAAATAACAACGGTATCTAATCATACTGTGCATTAACTCTAATTTCAGAGATTACCGCTAAAAAAAAACCAAAAACAAAACCCCCAAACCCAAAACCCACAACTTTGGCTTAACAACCCTGTAAGGGAGAAACTTTGCTAACCTTATACATCACAGTGTTTAAAAACAGTTAGAAGAACCATTTCCAAAGCTTTAATCACCGAAATGCACCTAGGTCACTTTGTGTTGAGTAATAAGAATTCATTCTGAAAAGAATTAATCCTTGTTGTTTCCTCTTAATTCTTTCATCTCAGACCTACAATGAGAGATTTAAAAGGAAAGACCGGAGGGAGCAAGACGTTTAAATCCATCCGCAGGGATTTCTTTTGAGCCTAGAGTTTAATGTTTCGCTAGGGTTTCCCCATAGAGAGTCCTACAGACGGTGGGTCCCAATCTGTTCCTAACTGGAAGACAGCTACCAAGGCGCCAGGAGGGACGGATACGCCGGGCGCACGAGAGGGGCCCGCACACCGACCCCCACAGGTCTGGCAGGGCAGTGCGCTCGCTGTGGGAACGCGCGACCCAGCCTTCACCTTGGGAGGTGCAGAGGCGCACACCAGGGTCCCCGGAGAAGTTGTCTCCAGCGGGAAGCCTGTCAAACCACGGGCGGGGTGGGGGCTTAGAACACACACACTTATTCTCCTGGTCCTCGGCGGGCACCGGGCAGCCAGCCGCGCGGGCTGAGCAGGGGCGGACACTGCCGCCCTGCCACTGACAGTTGACACCGGAGGACACCCTGGAGGTCCCCGTCCGCCGAGGCCCGGCGGGGCGGCGCAGAGAGGCTGTACCTGGCAGGCACCCACGTACCTATCATGGTCACTGGGCAGGTGGAGACTGCTAGGCACGCAGGAGCCTCCGCGCACACCGGCACCCGCCTGTGCCTCCCACCAGTGTGGCTCCGGGGGTAAGTCTTCCGGCACTTGCCTCCCCTGTGCCCGGCCTTCGGAATGCGCACGCGCCGACGGCGCGCACCAAGGGCCTTCTGGGAGTCGTAGTTTTACCGCGTAGTTTCTCCTCACCCCGCCCCTCTCCCTCCGGCCGCCGGCCGCGGTCCGCCGCCGGCCTTCCGCCGCCATTCGGGATTCAGGCCCAGGAAACGTACGTCACGGGGGAACTGGGCCATTCGGCCTTAGTGTTGACGCGTCGCTTAGCAACCGGGAGGCTTACCTTTGGAAGCTTGTTGCAGCTTTTGCCGCGGTCCTTCGCTCTTCCCGCCCCTCCCCTCCCCTCAACTCCCTTCACCTAGGAGCTGCCAAACATCTGGATCAACCTGGGCGCTACGAGGGGTTGAATTTCTACCAGTATCGCGCCTTTTTACATTTTTTTTTTCCCGAACTCCTTCTCACATCCGTAAAACCCACTGCTTCTTTTACTACACGTTTTATGAGAACAAGACATTTTCTAGGAAGATGGTGGCAGAAAAAGAGACCCTGAGCTTAAACAAATGCCCAGACAAGATGCCGAAGAGGACCAAGCTGCTGGCACAACAGCCGCTCCCGGTGCACCAGCCTCACTCCCTGGTTTCTGAGGGCTTCACAGTCAAAGCCATGATGAAAAACTCAGTCGTAAGTGATCTTCTTGCATTGAATGCACTCGCTCCGAATCAGGGGACACCAGATTATAGATGCTGGCCGGCCCTGTGATGGATTCTGAATCTCTGTCCTGGGTGGTCTTTGGCAAAACTGGCAATTACTCTGCAGATGGTGCCCACCAGAGTGTGCAGGTCCAGGCTAGGTCGTCAGAAAGGATATCGGGCAAGTGAGGTACTATACCCATTGATAAGCACCTGCCTAATAACTCATGGTTTCTAGACCATCCAAAATTACTCTTAAACTATTTACACGGAAAAAAAAAAAAAGACCCTCTTTCCCTCTTTGATTCCTAATCTAGCCCCACTCCTCAGCAAAGGACCTTATAGAAGGCGAGTTCTTAGAAATCATAAAGTCTTGCAAAATGTGACGTGCTGACGTGCACCCAGAAACATAAACTCATTAAATCATCTACAATAAGAAATCTCATCAATTCAACCTAAGAAGTTTTAGCATATCCATACATTTACTTTAACAACCCTCTTTCTTACAAAATAATTTCAGCCTGTAAGAGCACTGATAGGCAATTTAATATGAAGTCTATTTCCAGATAGACCTTTTAAATGATAAATTTAAACAATCCAAGCTTCAGTTCAAGTATTTCTATTACTACAATTCATATTTAATTTCTATAATTGCTATAGTAAAAATATTCTCAATACTATTAGGGGAAAGAAAGGGTTTAAAATGCACACAAGTGAATTAGCTACATGCATGAAAGGTTTTAAAAAAACTTTCATACTTGTTAAGCAGCTTTAGATTTGGTATGCTAAGCCAGGTTTTACTACTGACAGACTAAGCAAGCCCCTGTGTAGGAATGAGATATTAATAATAAATGCAGCTTTCAAATTTGTATAATTTACACTCTGGGAGCATCTGACTTATTGTATAGCAGCTCACTATGTTAAATGAATAGTGTTGTTTTCCAGTATCACATTATCTCTTTTATACAAATGTTGGAAACCTAATACCTTATTCCTAAACTGCATCCTTAAAATACATGAACGAAACAGATTACCTCTAGATCCCTAGGTCAGATTGCCATATTAGTACACAAAATGATATTTAGCTTATTGGAATGTGTGTCACTTGATTTACAACAGGTAAAATTCATGAAAGTAGATTAAATAACCTGCCATCTTTTTTACATGTTTTTCCCATGAATAGGTGGTCATGGGAGTCCAGATGATTCATTTATCAGCAATATAGAATACGATCACCATTCAAGCTAATTAATTGTTTTTTCTTCTACACAGTATTTGTAATTATAATCTTGGTCGTTTTTTCTTTTTTATTTTTTTTACATTTTAAAAAAAAAATTATTTTTGAGAGACAGAGAGAGACAGAGCATGAGCAAGGGAGGGTCAGAGAGAGAGAGAGACAGACAGACAGAATCAGAAGCAGGCTCCAGGCTCTGAGCTGTCAGCACAGAGCCTGATGTGGGGCTCAAACCCAAGAACCATGAGATCATGACCTAAGCCAAAGTCTGATGCTCAACCGACTGAGCCACCCAGGCGCCTCGGTCATTTTTTTCAATGTTATATTTTTTCACAGACACATAAAAAATTGGTCATTTTCTCTTTTTTTTCTAAATTTTTATTTATAATCATGTTTATTTTTTAACATAGCCTTATACCTAAAGTCATAGTTCCTGGAAAATTAAGTATTTCAGTATTGCCCAATATAGGAAATATGCTTATAAAACTAAAATAGCAAAAAAAAAATTGATTATGAAGAAGCCTTCTTTATAAACAACCTACATGAGTTAAATATCCTCTTATTTTGCATTTTTAGAGAAAATCTCTTAGTGTTATATCTGTATTTCCATTAAGAGCCTCAGAACAGGATGTGTCATTCTTTCTTTCACTTTATTTAGTGAGAAATTACAATTCATAAATGCAGATATTATCCACATATTCATTCATTCAACCAAAACTCCATCTCTTTTCCTTTTTATTTTATTTATTTATTTATTTTTTTTGCTAAGCTAGGAACATTTGGGATCAGCAAAACAAAGTCCCTGTCCTTCGTCCTCCGAAGAAAACTACCACACAATAATAAAGGCTTGATAAAAGAAAGATACCGTTTATACAAAATAACTTCAGGGGTATAGGAAGTGAAACTTTTCATTTTTATCTCCAATATTTACCTTTCACCATTTCTGTCTTCAGCAATGTGAACCTTTTGGCATTAAAAAGTCAGAATACCCCTCTCTCTTTCTTAAGGTTTATTTCTATTCAGAAAATAACATGCCAGTCTCCAGCTTCTCTTGATTACAACTGCTGTCCAAGTGTGGACACCTATATCATTTTTCTGGCATTGAGACTTCCCTTCAATTGCCTCTTTCAGAAACTTCCTAATTAAATGAGTCACCATTCCAGTGCTCCTCCACAAAAGATGTATGCAACTGCGCCCCAAAGAGGTCTATGGAGATTCCCAGTGTTTCTTTGAGAATGTTCTAGTAACATAAATATATACACTTGATCATAAACTGATTTGATCAGATGGGCTGTGCAAACAGAAATCCCTATCTGAACAGTCATATTCTCTCTCTCTCTCTCTCTCTATATATATATATGAATAAAAAATTTATAAAGTAATAATAAGCATAAATGGCTAGGTTTTTAAGACCCAATGTCAAATAAGCTTCTTCCTTTACTTCCCTGAAATTATTATTGCATTCTGTTTGAAAACAAGCAATGACAAAATTCCTGAAGTCAGAGACTAATATCAAATTCATCTTGTTATGTGTGCCTAAAAAGAGTGGTAGGAGATACAGAATTTGAAGATTTCATGTTCCATTTTCCCTGTAAAGGCCTTGTTTCATGGTATGTTGGAATCTATAGCCAGAAACCAGTAGTTCAGTGTTGTATTGGTTTAATCTCAAATGACAATAGATGCCTTCTGTGCTAATACACTTTATCATAAATCAAGTTAGGCTATAGGCCCCAGTTATGATGATACAGATTGACTTCAGCTTAAGCTTTATACTGTAGCTTTCCTTTTCAACGGGCATATGTTTTATGTTCAAAGCTTAGGGGAATGGGAGAAATAATTCTTTAATGTTACATATGTAGAGACTTTTATACTTACCAATCATATATTCATTCAACACATAGTGGTAATGGTCAACATTTATACATTATATATTAAGGTATTGACTTGGCTGCTTTAACAGAGACCCAATAACAATAGTTTAACTAAAATGGAAGTTGTTTCTATTGCATAGAAAGGTCCAAGTTTGTTGGGCACTGCTTGTATATCGCTTTGTATCCTGTCGGTTGATGTCCTCGGTCAAGGTGGGGTCACCACCATCAGGGTCAAATCCCTACCCTCAAAAAGAAAGAAAGAAGCAGCAGCAGCAAGCTCCCTTTTGGAGGCCTGGCCCAGGCACCACACCACACTTTCATTCACATCCCACTGGCCAGAATTTGGTCATAGGCCTATACTTTCCCTTTCTACAAAAACCTATGAAGAACAGACCCTTGCAGGAACTCCCAGGCCCCCACACGTTCCATCGGGAAAGGGGCTAAGAAAGCTATATACCTACAAAAGGGCATAATGTCCAGCACCTACCTCAGGCATGGTGAGGGGGGTGGGGGAACACCTGTAAGAAGAGGCAGGAAGAAATGGAGAGCAAGCAGCTTCATCAGAAATGTGTGTCCCAGAAGTTACACTTGTCACTTCTGCTCAAATCGGTTGCGAAAACTTACTTTTATGACTATATCCAGTTGTAAGAGAGGCTGGGAACTGTAGTCTCTGACTGGTAGCTCTATGTCTAGCCGAAACTTGAGGCATTTTATTACTGTAATAAGGGGAAAAAGGAATAGTAGCAGTGAGCGTGGTAATTAGAAGTGTCCACCGCCTTAGGGTGCCTGAGTGGCTCAGTCAGTTCAGCGTCTGCCTCTTGATCTTGGCTCAGGTCATGATCTCACGGTTCGTGGGTTCGAGTCCTGTGTCAGTCTCTCTCTCCCTCTCTTGGGATTCTCGCTCTCCCTCTCTCTGTCCCCCTCCCTCACCCGCTCTCTCTCTCTCTCTGTCTCTCAAAATAAATAAACTTAAAAAAAAATGTACACCAGCAGTGGTAAATATGTTCTATTGCTAGTGAAGAAAAGGAAATAAACAAGCAAAGTAATTGCAGGACATGTAAATACATGTCCGTCCGTGGTAAGGCTTAGAAATATTTGCTCAGCACGGTGGAAGTACTAACGATGAGGGGACCTCATCACCTTTTGTCTGGGCTTTTACAATATTCATCCAAACTGGTCTCTAGATTCCATCCACCATTTGGTTGTTTGCCTCAAGCGTCCATCAGTATTACGACATTCATCTTCCCAGTAAAGTTCCCCTCTTATCGCTGCTCAGAGAAAACCATGGCACCTCCACCAGACCAGCAAGGTCTTCTGTGATGTAACCTATTCTAAGGTTTACTTTCATCTCCCTCTATTCTCATTTCCTTCCACCAAATTGAACACTAACCTTTCATTGTTGCGATTTCACTTATCGTGTACCCTCTGCTCAAATGCCCTCCTTCCTACATATCTGCACACACACACACACACACACACACACATACACACACACACACACACACACACACACGTTCCTTCACACATTATGTAACGAATATCTATTGATCACTGTGCCAAATGCTGTTTAGGTGCTGGCAGTTGAGCAGTCTAGAAAAGGCAGAACCTGTGCTGTCAAGGAACTTTTATTTTTGTGGCCAGCTAAAATGCCAACTGCTTCAAGAAGACTTCCTAATTTTCCCTCTTTGTCAACCAAGATGGAAAATTATCCTTTGCTCATTGTTTTCTACTGTGTATGATGGTTATTTTTGGCTCATGTTTTGTCTTCTGTAAATTTCCTTTGAGGGCAGAACCCATGGCTAACTAATTTTTTTCATCCTAACCAGTACCTAATAGTGTACTCACTAAGTATCTGATGAATGAAGGTAAGCAAGTCTACCCTTCTTG